AGCTTTGGAGTCAGGTCGGAGTGAGAAAAGGAACATGAGAGCGGTAATGTGATACTGATAGTATATTATATAACAGAGGAGGAGAACTCTCAGCTGAACACGACCCCACCAATACTTGCCACTAACTCTAGACTGTCGTGATCTGGTAGTCAATAGTGAAAGTACTTTTAGCGTTTTAGCGTATCTCTTTTTAAAACACGTTTAATAAGCCATCCGTATATCTATACGTTCAAATGGAAGTTCGACTTAGCGTACCTCTTTTTAAAACACTTTTTCTAAAACCATCTTTATTTCTATATGTTTAAATGGAAGTTTTGGGGTTGTTGTTTTTTTGTCTTAGCGTATCTTTATAAATCTTTCTCTCCTAAACCGTCGTGGTATCTATTCGCGATCCGGCTGACAAAAGGAAAGTATTCTTAGCGTCTTAACGAGGGGACCGATATGTTTATCGTTTATTCCGACAAAAGCATGTGACCCAGATTGAAATGACGACTGTCTGTCCTCTGGGAACCAACAAAAAAAAAAAAAAAAAAAAGCACGTCAAAACAGCAGAACAAAATTAAACGTTATCCGTCTGGTTTCAAAGTTCAGCTGGGTTTTTTTTGGGGGGAGAGGTGTTACCTGGAAGAAAAGGCAACCAGAATAGTTTCAAAATCGCCGTTTTTATCTTGTCACAACTCCCACTTACAAAAGGGATATAGAATCTCTATGATGAATGCCGGGGAAATAATATAGCTGCATCCATAATTCACCGAGTGTCCTATTTCTCGTGCCCATCCTCGCGGGCAGTGCAGGTGTCTGTTGTATCTGGCGTGACTTTTTCTCAGTGCTTTCTCAACCGTCCCACTTTCGTGCCAATAATAGCTATTCATGGGATTTATATGATATCCCCACAATACTGCGTTCATCATTTTATGGTGGGAAACCATTTTACGTCCCGGAAAGGGTCGGTTAAGTTAAAACTGACAATAAAGTCTCCAACAGCACTTGCAGAAAGGGATCGAACCTGTGTCCTCAGCGGCGCTTATCCACTAGCCCGCTAGGTGGAGTCTCTTAATCAGTTCCATCTGCGTGTCCATCGCCACAAGTCCCACAAAAGAACCCCCATCAAAACGAGGACCAACCAAAACGGACACCATTATAATATCATAAGAAGAAAGTAAGACCAGACAGACTACCATCGAAACGAATCGCTCTGAATATGATTTTTTAATTTTTTAAAATTATTATTATTATTATTATTATTTTTTTATTA